GTCAGGTGGAACATCATCTAGTCATAAAGTTAGTTAGTTTACTTTACTTATAAAGTTAGTCAGATTACTTGATTATGTCGGATAAATCGCACGGTATATGATAGCGTTATTGTTAGTTTGAAGGTTCACATCAAAACTCTGCAAAAATTTCTGTTCAGAGTGATTGTTTCATTCATTTAGTGTTTTTATGAGGGGTACACTTTGAATTTGGTTATTTGTAATTTCTCAGATGTGAAGATTGAAGTTGACGACTACACGAGAAGAGTGAAGTTGCAAGTTTCATGCAGAAGTTGACACTGTTGAAGGTTTATCGCTTTTTGAATTTTACTTTTGGTGTATTTGAGAATGCCATGCGCTCTGAACTGAAAGCGAAAGCGTTCAAGTCACAAGCCGAGAGTGCACGATCGAGGCGATTGGGTCGAGGGAAGACGGATGGTGGTGCTTCGGTTGGAGAGGGAGGCGAGAAGGCAGCGACAGCATCCGAGACAACCAGTAAAGTCGGTCGAGATTTGGACATTTTGTATTCGGTTGGTGAAATTTTGGTTGAAAATATGAATGGTAATAATAATGGTGATAATGAAAATAATTGTAACAATTCAAATGGTCTTTGAATCAATCAAATGTCATTGATAATGCATTCAGGTGAATGTTGATGATTTGATGAAGCCAAGCGCAGAGCCGAAATCTCCCGAAAAGAGTGCAAAAGCGAAGAAACGTCGAAGGATGCAATCACCTTCTGAAGCGGTCAGTTGAACGGATAAAAAATTTTTGTGGGAAATATATTCCGTTTATTTAATGTAGTGATTTTTTTAGGCTATTTATGGATTTTGACGGGTTATAGAATTTGTGGACTTTTGATTTTATGATTGAACATTCTTTTCGTTTAGATTTACAATAGGTTTTCGTTGATCCGTTGTTATATTTTCCATTTTTATCAGTTACATTCCAATACTGTTGAGTGAAATTTCTCAATTGCAGGAGAAATTGTTGCAAGCGNCAGTTATATTCCAATATTGTTGAGTGAAAATTTTCACTGTTGCAGGAGAAATTGTTGCAAGAGGACAGTATGCCAGCATTGGACACAGCAGGTCAGTCCACTTCCGCAGAGAATATTTCTACACCAACAAGAAGATCACCCAGAAAACGTGCTGGAAAATCAGAACCGAAATCTGAAGAACAAAAGCAAACTGAGTGAGTTGAACAGAAAAATTTTTAATAGAGTTGTTCGAAATTCTCTTAGAATTATTCTGAAAATTGTGAGAAATTTGTTTGGCGAAAATTTTGTGTGTTGTGAATTTATGATTTGATATTGGATTTTGAATTTGATTCAACTTTTCTAGTGAAAAAGATTTCGTATTGTTGTCATTGGGCGAAGGTGGAGCGGATGCTAGCAGTGGAAGTAAACAGCAACCAACGAAGACGAGACTACCTGAAGAGGCGATTAAAGGTAAGTTGGCGATTAAAGGCTATAATTTAGTGTTGAATTTGAAGTTGAAATACAAGCAATATGGAAGGAAGGAAAATATTAAAGTTTAGTGAGTAAAGCAGTGCTGTAGTGATGAATAAATGTTGTTATCATTTCAGCATCAGTTAATGTTGGCAAATCAAAAGAGGAAAGGCGAGGGGATGCAATTTTGAAGAAATTAGCCATGGCACAGCAGAGTAAATCGGGAAAATGAGTGGACCGGATGTACCGATTTGCAGTTTCAGTCGTTTTGGTTTTGTTATTGTATCATTGTTATCGTTGTTATCATGTTATCGATAATGTTCATATCGTTCGTATCAGTATTGTAAACAAACAGAGAGATAAGGAGATGAAATAAAGTATTCATATTGAATGGGATGATATCGTAGAGAGTTCATTTCTTAAAGGTTCTTTTCATGAAGGGTTCTGATTCCCTATCTGAACGTATTTTTCTCATTCAAAAGCTATATGTGTTTGTTGGATTGATTGAAGATGAGGTGTATCTCAGGCAGATTTGGATTAAACGATAACTGATAGATAATTGTAGTGATTTTATAAAGTCTTATAGAAAAGCTCTTTCCATTTTTTTTTGAGAAATTTCAAAATTTATTTGATTGTGTGAGCGATTTTAACTGACAATGAGCTNATAAAGTCTTATAGAAAAGCTCTTTCCATTTTTTTTGAGAAATTTCAAAATTTATTTGATTGTGTAAGCGATTTTTAATGACAATGAGCTTGTTTCGTTTTGGACATGTAAATTTTTGAAGATTTCAGTATGCATTTGGTCAGTGGATTCATTGCAATGGAATAATGAAGATTATTAATAATTGAGACATGTTCGAATGATATATAAAATGAAGATTCGACGGTTCAATTTGTATTTGCTGTGTGCG